TTCACCTTACTGACCATCTGCAGAACCTCCGAGCAATCACCTATTCGAACGTGCTAGACAAAGAAAAATGTAGAAGTGGACTGATAACCCGCAACAGTTACTGAAGGCTAGTTTGTGTGATGCGCCTCTGATACTGCGGTTAACGCTTACCGTAGCCGTGGGAAGCAGATATTATTCTACTTTTACAAGAGGAGAAACAAACATTTGGCATCTTGTCCGTGCTCACTTGGCCAGTGCCGGAGGGGCTGGGCTTCACCTGGCCATGGTAGATGCTTAGGTCACTCTCTCTGCTCCTCGTGTCTGTTGGCACAACTGCTGGCTCTACTCTATGACCAGGGGTAGGGGACAGACAAACCATGGTAACCAAGTGTTTTGAGGTTTTCAGTATAGTACCAACTTGTTCCCTTAGTAGCAACTAAACACAGATAATGGGTCCTAACTGGAAAATGTGGCTCAATATTGTACTGCCAGTCTCAATTCAGATCACCCCCAAAACATCAAGGAAGCCATGGAAGACAGCCCCCCCCCCAACATGTATGGAGGATGGTAATGAATTTTGCAGGAAAATAAGCACTCTGAAGCATCCTGCCAGGGGGCAGGGTCCAACATCTGAAGGTGCTGTTGCTTAACCCAAATGTGCAGCTGGGTGTCAGCCCTTAAAGGGGACTCCCAGGGGACTCCCAGGGGAAGGAGATTCTGGAACGGCAGCAGCACTAGTCTACTCTTCTTATGTCTACTCTTCATATCTTGGAAAATACTAATGTGGAAATTTTGTGAAATCTTGGGACTATTATATGAAGTGAGAAGAGAAGGATGCAAAATGAAATACCGTAGAACTCCCATTTATACAAATAGAAACAAAACTGGAAGAAAAAGGATCAAAATATTAATTGTTTTATTAAGTGGTGAGAATCAGTTTTGTGGTTTTGAAAAATGTCTTCCATATGTCTCACAATGAATAAAGATTCTTGTTATACTCACAGCCCAGCCAATAAGATGAAAACGAAGGAAAGGTGAATGCCACAGCTCAAGAGCTAGCATTTCATTTGGGTTGTGTATCAGTGAGGTAGCCTCAGGGTAGGAGTTGTGCAAGTTGTGGTTTTGTGTAAGGAAACACCCTATCTTTTGTGGTGGATTGACAAATAGTGGTCAACTTGTAACACCCAGCTGAAGTGAATCAACGTGGTGCTGGGTGTGGAAGGCCCACCTGAGGACTGTTGCCAACAATATAAGAAAGAGAACTGGAGAGGAAGAAGTGGAGCTGTTGGTTCTCCTGGAGGAGTGTGTCATGCTGGCTTTCCTGATATGGACTTGGCTGCTCTTATCATCGGAGGAGTCTGGGACCTATGGCTGAGAATGGCTACAGTTCACTTTAGGGGAGTTCTGGTCCTTTCCGCATCGCCTCCTGACTCCAGAGCAGACCTCTCAGGCTGCCGGTACAGATCTTCACTCTGCTACCATGGACTTCCTAGCTCCACCACTGACCTTTGGGCCTTCCCAGTGCAGACACTTGCTATGGACTTGCATGAAGCATTGTCATGGGTTCTAGGTCTTCAGCTGGACTCATGCAGGGCATTGTCATTGGATCCAGGTCCCCAGTCAGATTCTTTGGGTCTTTAGCTTGTGGACAGATTTCCTGCACTCTTTGTATTTGACTCTTTGGATGACTATTATAAAATAATCCTATAAATTATGTGTCCTGTATTGTTTCCCTTGCAAACCCTATGACATTTTTCTTCCCTCTTCCCCTCTGCACGGAGACTCTGCGAGCTCCTGCCCTCTCCCTTTAAGCAGATGTACTTGGTCAGTCTGAGTTAGGATGGTCTGAGCGTCCCTCTTTCTCATTGCTGTGGCTTAGGGACCTGGATAAGAGAGGGAAGAAACATGCAGGGAAGAGCACAGCTTCCTTTCCAGGCAGAGTGCTGGGTACTCACCTTCCAATCTGGTGTGGGTTGAAGAGGGGCAGTGCCCCCAGAGGCCCACACAGTAAAGGCTTTCTTCCCCAGAGTGGTGCTTCTGGGAGCTGCCATGGACCCTTAGGAGGGGTGGCCTATTGAGAGGTGAGCAGGGGCCATGACCTTGAAGGGGGTTGTAGGATCCTAGTCCCCTGCTGCCTCTTTTTCACTCCCTGGCTTGTGAGATGAAAGCAGTCTTTAGCTGCTACCTGCTCTACCTGCTCTGCCCTTATCAGAGACCCAGTGTGATGGGGCCTCCTGATTTTGGACCAGGATCTTCCGAAGTATGAACCGAAAGAAATCTTTTCTCCTTATGAGTTAATTGCCCCAGGTATTTTGTTACAGCAAGATGAAGCTGACTAATATACAGTCCTCAAGGAAGTCCCAGTGTGGTCCAGATGTTTCTGCTACACTCAGAGATCCTCCCATATTGGGATCCTTGGCAAGCTGGCTGCCTAAAGTTCCATCTTATGACGTCATGATATATAAAGGACACCTGACATCTCCATGCTCCATGTGATGGCTGCCCTGGAGGGCAGCAATGACCTAGATGTCCATTACAGCAGCGTGCACTCTTCAATCTAGAGGTGCTACAGGGGCGTCAGGGTCTGGGAGTCCCATGCCCCCAAAATGAAAGCGACAGAGGCCCTAGAGGGTCATTTAGCCTGCATCGGAATGGATGAATTCTGTATGGTAAGCGTTTAATGTTTCATCGACCCCTGTAAAATGAGGAGTGCATGGCCCAGTGTCCCAGGGTTTTTATAAGGAGCATTTTGAAAGTAAAAGTGCTCTTAGTGCAGGGTCTTATTTTGTACTTCAACCATCCCACACGTGTTCAGTGGAACCAACAGCCGGACATGCAATCCCTTTAAATGCTGACTATTGTGCGCTCTGTCTTGCAAAAGAGATTGTGGAAACTGGTGGGAGTGAAAGGGCGCCGGCCTGGCAGAGTTTAGCAACTGGGTGAAAACACCACTGTGTGGTAACCTAGCTTTAAGGTGCGCACCAACCATGAGTGCAGAGGAAATTCCTCTGGGGCAAGGGGACTGGCTGGGCTGGGCCTCAATCGGCTGTGTGGAAGGGGCGTGGTTTTCCAAGCTGGGAACAAAGATGCCCAAAGGCAAATGCTACACTGGGTTTAGGAAGCACTGAAAAAAATGGCAGAGCAGAAGTATGAAGAACCAACAGAGAACAGGCTGGCACACACGGGGAAGGACAGAAGGGTCCCAAAGGTGGAAAGAAGGGTCCTAAAAGTCAGGTAGCAAAGTCCCCAGAGAACAGTTGTACCAAGATAAGCTTTTCTCTAAACCCTAACATTTAATCATGTGACCAGCGGATCTGGTAATCTGCTGATAAGGTAGTTTTGAGGGGAAATTAGAGAAGAATATCTATTTCCAAAAGTCCTGGAAACTATATAAAAGGGGAATATAAACGTGGGTGGTAATTTAATACACTGTTGTTAAATAAGGATAACCCAAACATAGCAGTGATCTTTTCCTCTTAGATTTCTGAGGGTACTGTGGAAAATTATCAAGGAAAATGCATTTTTCATCCTGTTAGTATTTATAGAAAAAATGAATAAATAAAACATTTGGGGGAGAGAAATAGTAAGATTGCACGCTTATACATTTTATGAGTTTTGCAAAAAGAAAGATCAATCAAATTGTATGGCCGGCCAACCTCCCATTACCTTGAGTTTTTTGGAGTCGGATTTTTGTTATTTTTTGGAAAGTCTTTCCTCTAGTCTTTGAATGGCTGGCGCCAGCTCCATTCCAACTCATCGAGTTGGTGCCATTGGTTTTAATGAAGCAGGAGATTTGGCTAAGAATGGGGATGGCAAGGCAGATGGATGACTGGACAATAATTGTGAAAATGCATATTTATGGACTTCTATAAGCACAGATTATTGATGTAGTGCAACTAATGGGTACTATATTTTTCAAATTTTCTTCAGCCGTCTGATAGAATCATTCTTCAATTGTTATATGTTTCAAAAGTTTTTCCTCCATGGTTTGTACTGCCCATTACATTGTACCAGGATTATATGGTTATAATCTATTTCATGTTTACTTCTTTTTGAGCAGGAACAGTTCATTTTTTTAAAAAGTAGAAGCAGGAAAGTACAGCCATTGGGTATGAAGTGAACCCACCGAAAAACCTGGGCAGCTGAAAACAAATGCACTGAAGAGTTTTTCAGGTTCAGTCAGATCAGCGGGGACTCCCGTGTGAGTGGGATAACCATTTCTGGCATAACCATTTCTCCAACAAACCTCAACTTAGTGCCTTTTCTAAGTCAGATTGCATTCTATCTGAACCTACTGTTTTCACCTACATTTAGAACAAGGCAGTTCCAACCAGCTCTGCTCCAGCAGGCAGAGACAGGTGGACAAAAACAATATAAGAAGAAGCCCAGAAGGCACAGAGCTGCCCTGCCACGCGGGTCATTAGAGGAAGCCATCCCTGCGGAGAGCATCTCGAGAATACCTCTTCAAGGTCAGAGATCCTCAGCTCCCTGCTACATGCACTCAGTTAAACTAATAAAATCAGCAGGGCTACGACTGAAAACATTTTGCTGTGAGGATTTATGAAGTATGGCTTCCGAATTTGATAGGTTTCATTTGAATGGATGCTGGAGTAACTTATCTCAGGACATTGAGGGTAACAGCTGCAATTTCTCTCTTGCCCAGTGGAGTTTCCATGAGCGACCCCCTGAAGACAAAGAACATTCCCTGTGGAAGTGCTGTGTGTCTAGGGATTTGGAGGAGAACAATGCAATGTCTTTGTAGAGTGGTTAGTAAACTGTCCTGGAGACCTGTTCAGGTTGCTTGCTGGGTATAATTGGCTTCGAAGTCTAATGTTTGAATGAGCAGTCATTCAGGGCTACAAGCAACCATTTCTGGGCTGTGAGCCATTTCGGGGCCACACCAGCAGGATGCCATACCTTGAAGAAGGAAAATTTATCCCTTTTAGGACTGGAACATTCCAGAGATGATTTTTCAAGTCTTAACATCATGCTATTATGACATCATTGACACTGACTCAGGGTCAAGGTGTTTAAGTGGAAATGTTTATTTTCTTAAAATACACCTCAGTTTTCCCTCCCCAACTGTAAGAAGGAACCCTGGAAGGAAGGGGACAAGACAACAGGAGCACTGCACGCCCGTTACACATCGTGGGAGTCAGCACGAGGCATCTGGGGTCTGGTTTCCACTCGTGAAACCTCACATCCTCTTTTCCACTCAGATAGGTCTTGGCCCTCACAGTTATTCTTCCAGCCTTGCCTGGGGAGGAGAGGAGAGGGAAGCAGGAACAACAGAAAGAAGCACGACAACCTCTGTGCTTAGAGACTCAGACCCATGGAGAGCTAGCTGGCACCACCAGTGATGCGCAGAGTGAAGCTTCCATGCCTGCTGAGCTGCAGGGTCTCTATTGTTTTCTCTTCAAACATCTCTCCCCGGTTTTTTGCCTCCGCAGCAAGCAAACAGCTTTTGGAAGGCTGGGCCACTGCATTCAACACCCACATCTCTGGAAATGTGGCCTCCCTCAGTGGGTGGTCCAGCTAGCAGCGTTCAGTAGGAGCAGCCTCGGGATGAGTAGGCCCCGGCTGAACCGTGGCTCCCGCTCAGACCCAGGGAAGTTTTCTGCTAAGTTGTCACGCAACAGACATGCTCATTTTCTCCTCCGAATTCTTATACAAATCCAGAGGAAAGCCAAGCTCTTTTCCTTCTCTGCGCTGGCTGGGTGAACCCTTTCCATTTCACATTAGAAAGTACCTCTTTCTCCAGTTGTTTGAAACTCCTTCTTGTGAAGATGCCCATTTTTCTAACTCAGTCTATCCCTTCTCCCCACGCTCATCCCCTCTGCCTTTCCCCAATACCTGCACATCAACGAGGAATCGGAGGGACAAGGTTATGGCAGCATTGTTGACCCTCTGGGGGCCAAAGTTCACCATAGCCATGATGCTCAGTAAAACCTTGTAGGTTTTACTCACGCCAGCCAGACTTGCCCAAGGAAGGACTCTTACCAATAGTTCATCCCTTTTGTCTCTTTAACAATTCTCTTGGCACAGATAATTGCATCTGTGAGGTCGTCCGTGAGCAAATCTGTAAAGCAGAGGGGCCGGGGGTTAGTGGAGACTGCGATGCTTAATGGGGATCTCACATCATGTTCTCTTTGCTTTTCCCACTATTTTAGGAACCAGAGGATGGGAAGAACTGTGACCGTCCCCACAGAACCATATTTTAATTTTTATTGAGTTTCTTCACCAATAAAATACTTTTGTTGGGTTGTTGTTGGTTTTTAAAACTATCCTCATCCTGGATTACCTGAAATTTCAGAAGAATAATTTAGTCCTGAAGGGTTTGTGGGACTCTATTTAGAGGAAGCACAAAGAGAGAATTGTTTTATGTCCTCAAGAGAAATACACAAGAAAAGACAGTACAATGTTTTCAGTACTCAGCTTAGCTTGCCACATGATTGTTTTTTCTAGGTAAATATAAACTTTTGTCTATTGTAATTTTCCACTTTGTGCCTTTAAAAGATTGTTATCCAAGTTGTTTTCATACATGGAAAATTTTAAATTTTAAACCCATTGCACCAGTCTTTATTACTTTTCTTATTGCTTCAGACAAAACAGATATTTGAATTGAAATGTATTTATTGATATCAACATTTTTTTCTGTTTGCCTGGAAGTGACTCCGTAATCCCTAACACAAACAACAGAAAAGTCAAATAAGTATAAAAAGTCCAACATCATCTCTGCTGCAGATTGGGTCTCTGGGAGCAGATGCTGAGATGGGCTTGGGATCTAAGCTATTTGTTAGAGACCCACACTGTGGGAAAAACAAAGAGGAAGAGGACCTGGAAAGCAGAGATGTGTCCTGGTGATGCAGGTTAAACAAAGCCTCAGCCACACTGGCCAGGAGCTCTGGAGAAAATATGCCCATCAGAGTTTCCCAGTTGGGTACAATGGCTAGGTCTGCACACTGGGCATCACTAGGTCCCTGGGTGTGGGCTGCCCAGAAGGGCAGACCTTAGATGAGGCAGGGTCAAGGCAGACCCTGTGGAGGCTGTAGATGGTCTGTCTGCCATAACCCAAGTGCTGCTGAGCTACTGCTTCCCTTGGAGACCTAAATGGTCCATCTGTATGATCAGCATGACTACCAGTCAGCAGGCAGAAAATCCAGCCACTTGCTCTCATTTTATCAATTAAGCATGGATTTTTTTTTTTTAAAAGATAACTAGTTAATGATCAGCGTTGACAGGGGTGCAATGAAATGGTTGCTCTGGAGGACTTCCTGGTGAGAGTGTACCCATTGTAACAGGTCCAACTTCTCAGGAACAAGTCTCAAAGAAGTTCCTATCTTTCTATCTAGTAATTTCTCCTTTGGGATCTATCCTAAGGAAGTAATCATGGCTGTAGATGAAGGTTTATAAAGTGGTTTACTGTAGCTTTATTTATAGGAGTTAAAAAGGAAAAACCTAATTGCCTCCATAATTAGGGATGTTGAAATGAATAATAATACCTTTATATAGTGAAATAAGGAGGCATTGAAATCATGCTTTCACGGCATGTTTAATAATGTGGGGATTGTTCCCAGTGTAACATTATGTCCTCAATGTTGCAAAAATATCTGCTACACTGACCAATATGGTAGTCTTTAGCCACATCTGAGTGTGGAGATTTAAGTTATGTCCATTAATGGATAAATGGAAAAAAACATGGCGTTTGCAGACTGAATGGAATATTATTCAGCTAGAACACATTGACATTTGCAACAAAATGAATAAAACTGGAGAAATCTAAAACAACTTGGATTTGTAGACACAAAGAACAGAAAGCTGGTTCCCAAGGGCTGCGGTGGGATGCTGACCAGATTTCTGTTACAAGATGATTTTCTGTTACAGGATTTCTGTTACAAGGTGAGCAAGTTCTGGGGATCTAATGTAGAACAAAATGACTGTGGCTACCAGTACTGTATTTTATAATGGAAACGGAGAGTAGATCATGTCCTCACAGCACACACACATCCACACCCCTGCACAGATGTCACCACGTGGGTTCTGGGTGCATTCATTAACTTGCTTCTAGTGACAACTTCACAGTGCGTATGTATGTTAAACAAGCACATTGACTACCTTGAATATATAGCTTTTGCCATTTATACGTAAAGAAAGCTGAAAAAATTAAAATAATACAGAATAAATTTAATTGCCACAAAGCACAATTATAACTTTAGCTTTTTAATCCAGCACTCAGGAAGCTGAGGCAGGATTGCCGTGAGTTCGGGGTCAGCCTGAACCACACAGCAAGATCCTGTCTCACGAAAAAGAAAAGAGAAAAAACCATTCAGTTTGTCAGGGGCCCTGCGGCCATGTGTGGCTGGAGGTTCTCATCGTGAATGGTGCCAGTCAGGAAGCTTCCCGTCACTGCAGAAAGCCCCATCGGACAGCACTGGGTTGGAGAGAAAAAGGGACTCCTGTGTCCTTATGTTTACTAGTATTTCCAGTATGAGCTCTCAGTCATGAGCTCATCAGTGTTCTTCAGTCTTTGCTATCTTTTCCAATTTTTCAGTGTAAGTGCATTTTTTTATTAACCAGAAAAATAACCAAAAAAATTTTTAGCCTGAAATATTACATTTCAACAGAGCATGGTAATACCAGATTGTTTCATAAACTCAGCTGCTGGAAGGTGAAATTTTTCCTTGAATATGCTGGTTTAGTGGCTCATTATGTTGCTTACTTGGACTTGACTAGAAGAGAAAGTAGTGATACGTTTCTTCAAATTTACTCTAATTGTAGCTGGTTCTATTTCAAACAAAATGAACGAAAGATATCATCTATGAGTGACAGCAACTGCAGCAATGCATGGGAATCCATGAGCATTCAGTTGATAGTTCTTCCATGACAAGTAGTTGTGTCAGTTTATGAAAGGTCTTATTTCAAAAGATACGGGTACTTGTAACAGCGAACATAGAAATTAATCTTATGTCAAGCACATGTTAAATTTCTTTATGGAAAATCTCCATGAACCTTCAAAGCAATCATTTTGGTGGATACGGTTATTATTCCTAAAAACTGAGGTCATACACCCAGAAAACGAGCCTATATTCAACCTAAGGTTTAATTTCTATTATCTTTTGTTTTCTCCTTCCAATGGAACAGTTAAGGAAGGATTCCCGCTTGTGGAACAGCATGTGCTAATGAAGTTGATAACAATGACATATATACTTTATAAACTTTTTATTATTTACCTATAAGTTGGTTTAAACGTAAGTGTTTGGCATCTGGTGCATGTTCAGTATACTCGGAAGCATGTTACTTTGCACACAGCTCATGTTAGGTGCTGACATACTGTGCCTTGTGTTGAAGTGGAGGCACAGGATTCCTAGGAAAGAGGGGTCACTGGGGTCTTGTGGGGTGGGAAGGACCCAGATCCTACAGAGCAAGGAAGGAGCAGATTATACTCTACTACTTCAGGATTGGAGCACACCCTGGGGACAAGCACAAAGAAGAAGGTTAGGATTTGGAGTAGGGCAATTTGCTTGCTGGGTTTATAGGAGGAGGCAATGCTGACCCAGGAAGTGGGCCTACAGTGTGAAATCCTCAGCCTCTGACGTTACAGTGTTTCTTACACTACTGAGATATATAAAAAGTCCTAGTTGGAGGAGTGGATTTGCTTAGGAAAGGTGGGGACTGAGAATTAAAGAACCCAGCAAGGTGCTAAGACGTTAAAGCACCATGACATCGGCACAGGGGGGCAGCAGAGGGGCAGAAATGAGCTGGGATGGCAGGTTTTCCTGAGGATTCATGCCAGTAATCGTTTCTGCCCAATTTACTTTAAATAGACAATTCTGTCCAGTCAAACATGAATAAGGAAAGGGTTATGCTGGAAACCAAAGCTTTATTCAGTGAAATAGTCTCCTACATCCAACAAGAGAAAGCAGCAACAATCTATATAAAAGAACTACTTGTTTCCAGTTCAGTTTCAAAGTCTCTCTGTGTCTCCCCAGCATCCTCTACCTCCCAACTAAAGCATAGCCACCATCCCAAGATCTCTTTCCCCTCTCTGCATTGACAAAGGCCAACTCAGACACCAGGCAGAAGAGAAACAAGACTAATGTAAGTGGATCAAACTATATGGAGGAGTCAGTGATCGCCTTCTTTTCTTTAAACATCTCCCACTGAACAAAACGTGTGCCATTAGACAAACACGAAGACTAACAGTGCATCAGGAAGTCACACAAACACACACACACACACACACACACACACACACGTTAGATTTGTAAATTGTCAGTCCATTTTCTGATGCTATAACAAAATACCTGAGACCAAGGAATTTATAAAGAATAGCAGATCTTTTGACTCATGATTCTAGAGTCAGGCGAGGCCAAGAGCGTGGTTTTAGCATCGCTTGGCGTCTGATGAGCGTCTCCCTGTGGCGCTGTGACATGTGGAGGGCTCTGCGTGACGGTGGAGGGCGCTATGTGAAAGTGGAGGGCTGGCGCACTAGCGTGCCCCTCCTTCCCGTAAAGTCAGGAGTGCCCGAGGGGGTCCCATCCTCAGGAGCTCATCTAATGCCGATTTCTTCCCAAAGGCTCCACCAACAAACACCATTAACACTGGAACTGGAGATAAACTTTCCAACATAGGAAACAGTGGGGCCGGGGACAGGGCCATTCAAATTATAGCACATATGGAAAAAAGACTTTTCTGTCTAATTAGCAGGAGGAAGGGAGGCAGGAATTTTAGGAGTACCATTTGGGATGGGAAGTGAGTTTTTGTAACATTTCAGAAGCAGGCACGAGGTGCATGTGTATGTATCGTACATATATGTGATGTCATATTCTCTGTAAACATACCCTAATGTTAATTTGTTTCTAGGTTCCCATGATAAATGTCCTTATTTCTGTAATACATGGGACAGAGTGACATGATTCGTAATTAAAGCTTGTCTGGCCGGAGACTGAGAAAGATTAGTCATAGAGGGATGATCAGAATATAAAACCAACGTCCTGCTTTCTATTGTAAAGCTCTCCCGACTGAACCCAGGGCCTCACACATGCTCAGCAAGGGCTCTGTCATTGAGCTACCATGCAC